TCAGTTTTGAGAAGGGAAACAGTGAAGCTCTTGATGAAGTTATTACCACTGATGTGACTGTTACCAATGATAGAACATTTCCTGATGAAGCAGATGAACCCCCACATGAAGCAGAAGCCAACGAGATGGAGATCAGTAGGGAAGAAGATACGTCCTTTAAAATTAAGAGACTTTGTTGAATTGTAATTTTGTGTTTGTAAGTTCTTGACATTTAATTAAGTTATTGTTAATTGTTTATTGGTTTAATGTAAGTGGCTATTGTTCGGGACGAACAATACTAAGGGAGGGGCAATGTTACGACAGCGGAGGTCACGCGACGCTATTAACACGTCATGCACTTCTAGAACGTTCATGAAACCTCGAGAGGCTACTAGATTCGGTATTCTTGTACATATAAGACGATCAAGACGTGACGGGAACAATGTTTAATTGAACTGCGGACAGAGAGAGACGTATTGTTGAGTCGAACACGTGAGACGTTCGTTGTGAATTATAGCGTTTGTTATAGCGCTACTGTGGAAATTAAGTGTATTGCAAAGTTGTATTCAGAGAGAATAAACCAGTTTTATTTAAGAAAGGACTGTATCGCTAAAGTTTCTTCGGAAATAATTTTTACGGAAAATTAACTAACGAAGGGAGGCGTAACAATATACCTGTACAGTACTAACAAAGTTATCGAGACATGCTTTAAACATTTAGAGCTCAAATTCAAACTTTTCATTTCATGAAGAACTTATGGATGTTTCATAGAGGCATTTCATAGCAGACACGCAGATTTCATTATATATGGTCTATTATAAGCGCTATCGTAATTATCCCCATCCTACCGAACATGCTCGCCCTTCCAGCCGTGGGGGCGTTATAATGTGACGGTCAATCCCACTATTCGTTGGTAAAAAGTAGCCCAAGAGTTGGCGGTGGATGGTGATGACTAGCTGCCTTCCCTCTAGTTTTACATTGCTAAATTAGGGACGGCTAGCGCAGATAGCCCTCGTGTAGCTTTGCGCGATATTCAGAAACAAGCTGACAAGCTATCGTAACGACACAAATGGAATAGGGTAGGTTTAGAACTGTTCCGACAGGTGGCTTTGACAGTGGCAAAATATGAAAAAATACATTCTCAACTGAGAGAAGAACGAAAGAACCAAGAAACAAAATTATGTGTATAAAAAGTAAATTCAATAAACTGCTAATTCGGCAGTTAAACTTAAATTCTTCTAAAGAGCAAGGCAGATCGTTATAGATTTAAAAAATGTTACATTATGAACTGTGTATAATAATGTACTAAATTATTTTTAAAACGCCAAATTATGTACTGTAGGCAGGAACAGTTTGTTTTAGAGCAAAGCCACATTGGGCTATTTGCTGTGTCCACCGTGGGGAATCGAACTCCGGATTTTTGCGTTGTAAGTGCGCTTTCCCTTTGGGGGAATATTAATGTTTTACAAAGTTGTTTATTAATCATCTGTTTCAAATTACATAACATTTAACATATTAATATTTCAATGACTAGTTCCGATTCTCAATTGTTCATTGTTACAATTCACCCTCCCCCCCTTCTTTGTCGGACAATTGACATTTGAATCCAAAACTTTCGTAGTTTTTCCTTTGATCTATCCCTCGGTGGGACAGTGTTAAGTCTACGGATTTACAATACTAAAATCAAGCGTTCGATTCCTCTCGGTAGACGAATCTCGATGTGGCTTTGCTATAAAAGCGCACACACTCTCCTTTGGTCTTGAAAAAAAAACATTCTTGCCGGGACTATTAGAGTCTGGTACACCACACTAGGTAAAAGGCATTTCGAAATTAAAATGAATACAGTGGTAGCACTACTTATTATTATTTTTTTTAATTACACAGGCCTGCGAATTTAAACTTCATAAAAATTGTTTTGGTTTTAATAACGGATTTTCCATAATTCAGCTTCACATATTTCGAAAATAATATTCTTTTTTTTAATCATTTAAAGATTTTTTACAAATCTGGAAGAAAAAAATACTCTTCCTTAGATCAAATTATTATTTCGTTTACTATAATGAACATTTTTTTATTATTATGTTTGTTTCTCGTGGGTTCTAGAACGAACGATAAGACCCTCACGTCGCGATTGGTCTAGAGAAATCTATAGCCAGTGGTTGTGAACATTTTAAGCATAGCAAAATGTGACCGGATTTCAATGAAAAGTACATATGACGTTTTGTAAAAAATCTGCACGTGATGTAGTAAAATGGATATCATTTTCGGATTCAGCATTATAGGACTTCCTTAGAACATGTAAAAATTTCAAGACAATAAAACCATCGGAGGCCTGTGCTATTAAATTTCCTCGATGGTACTAATACAACAATCATAATAACAATTAATATAACCCATATATCACTTCGCTTGCCACT